GTGGGCCAGGGATGGCACTTGGGAGAACCTTGAAGACCAAGGCAGTGAGGCCAAGCCAAGGTCCCGTGGTTTAGCTTGTACAAATGCCTTGCTCCATCTTTCCCATTGTCCCTCAAATTTAGTCACACTGCTGGCTCTTTCCTTTGAGTAAACTGCAGTATTTACTTATATACCCTCTAAAATCCATTCTTCTGAGATAGAATACAAAATCTGTTTAACTGTTAGGAACTGAACCCAGGTCCTCCCTCGTGTTATATACATTTGCTTTGCCTCCTGGCCCCAGGTTTTACTTTTGTGTATAACTTTGAGGGGTTTCATGTATTCCAGGCTGGCCTCAAACTCATTATTTACCTCCTAAGGGTTGAAATGACAGGCAGGCACCACCACAGCCCAGTTTTATGGGCTGCTAGAGATGAAACCAAGGGCTTGGTGCAAGGACATGTAAGCATTCCACTATGTTACACACTCCAGCCCTCCTGCACCCTCACCCCCCCATATCTGTGTGTGTGTGTGTGTGTGAGAGAGAGAGAGAAAGAGAGAGAGAGAGAGAGGCAGAGAGACAGAGACAGACACACACACACAGAAAAAGAGACACTCATGTAACCCAGGTTAGCCTCAAGCTCATTATTAGCCAGAAACAACCTTGAACTTCTTTCTAGTCATCCTGCACACACCTTCCATGTGCTAGATTATAGACATGTCTGTCCAGACTCAGGTTATGTGTGCTGGGGATGGATTTCAGGGCTTCCTGTATGCTACCGATCAAGCTACATCCCAGCCCTGGATTCTGCTTTAAAATTTATGTTCCTTGGAGTGATGATGCATACTTACAGGTGCCAGCGACTTGGGACACTGAGGCAGGAATGTGTGAGCCCGGGAATGTTACCACCTGGGCAACATAATTGAGACTTTATTTTTAGAAAAATCACCTTGGCTGGGTATTGGCAGCACACGCGTTTAATCCCAGCACTTGGGAGGCAGAGTCAAGTGGATCTCAGTGAGTTCGAGACCAGCCTGGTTTAAAAAATGAGTTCCAGGCCGGGCGGTGGTGGCGCACGCCTGTAATCCCAGCACTTGGGAGGCAGAAGCAGGCAGATATCTGTGAGTTTGAGACCAGCCTGGTCTATAAGAGCTAGTTCCAGGACAGGCTCCAAAACCACAGAGAAACCCTGTCTTTAAAAACCAAAAAAAAAAAAAAGTGAGTTCTAGGACAGTCAGGGCTGTTACACAGAGAAACCCTGTCTTGAAAAAACAAACAAACAAAAAACCTAAAATTTATGTTTTGCTTTGGAGACAGGGTTTCCCTGTAGTTTTGGAGTCTGTCCTGGAACTCATTCTTGTAGACCACGTTGGCCTCGAACTCACAGAGATCTGCCTGCCTCTGCCTCCCAAGTGCTGGGATTAAAGGTGTGTGCCACCACCACCCAGCCTGACTTTTAAATTCTTACCTAAAAATAAATTTTCATGGTTTTTTCCTAATTAAGAATATTTTAAAATTTTCATTCAACAGGCTCCAAAACCACAGAGAAACCCTGTCTCGAAAAACCAAAAAAAAAAAAAAAAAAATTCATTCAAAACAAAATCTTGGGTTTGCAGCCTGGCATGGCAGTGCACAACTTTAGTTCCAGCACTTGGGAGGCAGAGACAACTGGGTCTCTGTAAGTTCAAGGCCAGTTTGGTCTCTGTATTATAGTGAGTTTAGTAGAAAAACATTGACTCAAAAGAAATTTGGATTTGTTTGGTCCTGGTTTTTGTTGTTGTTGTTTCATTCCTGGATTCTGTATTAGTCCAGGCTAGTTTGAATCCTTTTTCTCAAATCTCAGCCTCCCTAGTGCCAAGATTACATGCCTTTAATCCCAGCAGCACTTTGGGAGGTAGAGGCTGATGGATCTCTGAGTTCAAGGCTAGCCTGGGATCTAGCTTGTAGATCTGGGAGTACTGCCAGGGCTACAGAGAAACTCTGTCTGGAAAAAAAAAAAGATTACATATCAGCTGTCATGCCCACTTGAGTTTCTTTTTGAGGTATATAAAAAAAGATTATCCTTGCTTCAGCCTCCCAAATACATGAGATTACAAGGCATACACCACTATGCCAGGCTTTCTTTAACATTTTTTTTGAGATTTATTTATTTATTATGTAAATGTTCTGCCTGCATGTGTCCCTGCAGGCCAGAAGAGGGCACCAGATCTTATTACAGGTGGTTGTGAGCCAACATGTCGTTGCTGGGAATTGAACTCAGGACCTCTGGAAGAATAATCAGTGCTCTTAACCACTAAACCATTTCTCCAGCCCTTCTTTAACATTTTTCAAAGCATTTTAGGAATGGGTGTGGTGATGAATGCTGCTAGTCCCAGCGCTCAGGGAGGCAGAAGCAGATAATTTTTGTGAATCTGAGGTCAGCCTAGTCTACAGTGAGTTCAAGGCCAGCCAGGGCTATGGAGAGAGAACCCATCTCAAAAAAAAAAAAAATAACAACCAAACAAAAAATACATTAGAGGTGGGACTGTAGAGCCCACAGTGGTAGAGCCCTTGTCTACCATGGTTGAAATGTGATCCTTAGCACCCAAAACAAACACAAAGTAACCATTGGAGATAGTCACTGCAAAATGCACAAACAAACATTTTAATTCATTTATTAACTGTCTTCCTCAAAGCATGTCAAACATACACACAATATATTTAATTAGTTTAGTTTCTTTCCTCCAGGTTTTTTCCCTAAGACAAGGTTTCTCTGTGTAACAGTCCTGACTGTCCTGGAACTAGCTCCATAGATCAGGCTGGCCTCACACTCACAGAGATGGGCCTGCCTCTGCCTCCCAAGTGCTGGGATTAAAGGCATGGGCCTCCACACCTTGCTCACCCCAGTTTTTTAAGCACATAGCATCTTCATTTTTTCCATTGCAAGAGTTCAACATGGTTTATTTTGTTCCTTATTGGTAGACGCTCAGATTTCCAATGATTTCATATTGCATCCAGCACATCATCTTGTTTTTATTTATTTATTTATTTATTTATTTATTTATTTATTTAGTATACAATGTTCTGTCTGTATGCCTACAGGCCAGAAGAGGGCGCCAGACCTCACCACAGATGGTTGTGAGCCACCATGTGGTTGCTGGGAATTGAACTCAGGACCTTTGGAAGAGCAGGCAATGCTCTTAACCACTGAGCCATCTCTCCAGCCCCTTGTTTTTATTTTTTTAAAATATTTATTTATTATGTATACAATGTTCTGTCTCTGTGTATGCCTGAAGGCCAGAAGAGGGCACCAGACCTCATTACAGATGGTTATGAGCCACCATGTGGTTGCTGGGAATTGAACTCAGGACCTTTGGAAGAGCAGGCAATGCTCTTAACCACTGAGCCATCTCTCCAGCCCCTCATCTTGTTTTTAAAATGGCCTTTTTGTTGCAGCTAGAAATCAAAACCCAGGGTCTCCTGCATAAAAACACACACCCTACATCAAGCTATACACTCATCCCCTTGAAATGATCTTTAAGGAATGAAAAACATTACCTGGTTACCCTTCATAAGTACCTAGACCCGTCTGTCACTTAGGTATACGAGGACATACCAAATATCCCTGGGCAAAAGATGGCTTTTCCTGAGAGACTCTGTCCTTGAATTTCAGAACCACGACCTCTTTCTCTCCTACAGGGCTACGGCATGGCATACACTGTCCACAAGTGGTCAGAGCTCAGCTGGGCCAGTCACTGGGTCACTTTTGGATGCTGGATCTTCTACCGTCTCATAGGTTGAAGCATATGACCCTCATAATTCCCTTCAAGACCCCTCCTTAGGGTACCAGCCCCCATGGGGGGATGAGGGAAGGCCCTTTCTCTACTCCTTGACCCTCTCCATTCTTGAGCCCCAACACCCCTATACATAACACGCAAACACACACAACCTTCCCTTGCCTGTCAATCCCCACCCCACTACCAGGCGGGAAGGGGGTGGTCCTCATTAGGGCCTAGAAGTGGATACTTGGGGATGCAGAGAGGAGCTGATCTAGGGCCTCCCCGCCTGCCTTCTCCCTTTTTATATGCAGTTTGTTATTGTCAAATAAAAGTAGAAATATGGAACAGGCTCATTCTTCACTGCTCAGAGGGGAAGAGGAGAGAGCAAAGAAGGAGGACCACAGATAAGGGTTTGGAAACTGAAACTCACAAGCGGGAGCAGATTATGATCTGTTTGCGGTGAATTTAAGATTGCTCATGATTGGCTGATACTGGTCCTGCTTGTGTGGAGCAGGAATAGATGTGGAGGTGGGGTGGGGTGGGGGAGAGGAGCACTAATAGTGAATGATAAAGAATTGAGTGACCCTTATTCTGATTGGTTGCTCAAATTAGGACAGACGAAGGGTTGATGCCTATAGGTCAGTAGGACTGAGTGTTGCAGGTTATAATTATGCTGATTCTGAAATGGGTGCTTTCTGACTGAATGCTGATGAGGTGTGATTGCCCACTGGTTTGGCGCCATGTTCTGTTTGGCTCTTAAGAACTGGCACGGCTGAGAGTCTCCACATCAATTGCTCAGCAGGAGTGAGGGTTTTGAATAGTTTCGATTTGAATTAGGGACTGGTGAGCGTGGCCGCTGCTGTCAGGGCTGGGGAGTTCTGAGCTCAGGTGGGCGCTAGGTTTGTGCGGAATGCGATCTACCTGTCATATTTTCTTTGCATTCGGACTGAGGATGGGCCTGGGAACTGATGCTGCCTAGAAAATTAAGAGATAGAGGGCCACGCAATGCCTATTCATTAGCAAATGTTCAAGATTTACCGCTTCGTTAGCTTCCGCGATTGATAAAGGGGCGGAGAAATTGAAGCCCAGACTAGCGTAGATTTCCTATTGGCAGAAAATGCCCACCGACCTTGGAGGATCCTGGTCTCCACCCCACTCCTGACTTAGTCTCAGCCAACAGGGAAGATGGCACCACGGGCGAGGACAGGGCCTGAGACGTACGGAGGACTCCTATTGGCAGAAGTCACCTCCTCCACTTCACTATTGGTTCGCTCCATTAGGCGGGGAGTAGCGAGGGCGGAACTGGGGCTATTTGGGAGCGCTCAGGTCTGCCTGGAAAGTCGCAAGCCTGTACTAAGAAGAGGCCCTGCGATCGTGCTGCCAAGGTGAGTGCTCTCTGCCTGCCAGCCTGCCCGAGTCCCCGACTTGTGCCCAGGCCCTCCACGACAGCCGCCTGCCTGGGAGCCCTGCCCTACCCAGCGCCTGCGTGGGACCTGGGCCCTAAAGCCATTGTCCAGACGACGGAAGACTCGCCCTCTCGTTGGGCAGCGGCAGTGGAAGGTTCTGGTTGTGATTGGTGATCTCTGGGCTCGGTTCCCCTTTTTACTGTTTAGCACCACCCGTGAGACCTGCCTTTCCTACTCCTTCAGACTTGTTGGCGGCACGGTACACTAATTTCCTGGAGTCTGGCTTTTGGAGCGTGGTGCATAGGGCTGTAGCTCTGATTGGTCATCTCTGCAGCCTCCCAACTGCTTTTCCTGGACCGTGCGGGTAGGAGTAGCTTCCAATTGAATGATCCTTGCCATTGTCTCCCGCAGCGAACCCAGGCTATCTATGTTCCTGTGTCTGTCTACGAAACTGAGCCCCAAGTGCTGGGACCTGGCTTGCTGACAGTGACTCTCCCACCAGAGTGTGACCAATGCGGGCCGTGGTCAGGACTGATCGCTGTGTGTCCTACACTAGATTGTGACCCCTGAGGGCTGAGATCAAGGCCTTTGGTTCTTTTGTTTTGTTTTGTTTTTCGAGACAGGGTTTCTCTGTGGCTTTGGAGCCTGTCCTGGAACTAGCTCTGTAGACCAGGCAGGTCTCTAACTCACAGAGATCCGCCTGCCTCTGCCTCCCGAGTGCTGGGATTAAAGGTGTGTGCCACCATCGCCCGGCTAAGGCCTTTGGTTCTTGTCACCTCCACCAGAGGTGACCAAGAGGACTAGGACCAGGACTTGTATGTGTGTCCTTTGCCATGTTGTGACCCCCCTTGAGGGCTGAGTCTGACTAATAACAAACAGGAAATACAACTCAGTGTAGCTTAGCAGTGCAGCCTGAGGATCCCTTGGAGCCTGGGGGCCTCTACTTAGGCTCAGGAGGCCTTGAAACCTGCCTGGTGTAAGAAAATGCTAGGATGTATCACCATGAAGCTAGTTAGTGAGTTTACTCCAGCAGAAAGCTGCACTTGGAAGAGTGTTCAGAGAGGAATGCACCTAGGTGCCCAGCAGAAGCTATATATCTAATTTAGGGGGCTGGGGAAGCTGTTTAGTCTCGAAGTTTGTTTGTATGTTTGTTTGAATATAGGATCTTGCTATGTAGCTCTGGCTACTCTGGAACTTTTTATGTAGACCAGGCTAGCCTGGAACTCATGGCAATCCTTCAGCCTCAGTTTCCAGAATGTTGGGATTTCAGGCATGTGTTAACCACACACTGTTATAACTACACACATTTGGCAAGGACACTGGACTTAAGTTTATTAGTCAGTTTTGACAGTTTTGTTTTTGCTGTTTCCCAGAAACGGTATAGTTCTCTTACAGGTGGACTGGTTAAGTATGTCAAAATCCCTGACACCATTACCAAGAGAGCGAGGAGGACCTTTTACCTTCTCATGCCCCCGTTTTTTCCTAGCTAGCTCTCCAGTCTTACCAGTCTCGAGCCAGGCCCATTTCTTATTGCAAGGCCTCCCAGAGACTTGGGACAAGCCTTTATTATTTATGTAGATTCGTATTTTAGTTACAGTCTTTTTAAAGATTAATTTTATTTTATATGTATGATTATTTTGCCTGCATATATTTGTATGTATCCAGAGAAGCCAGAAGAAGGTGTTGGATCCCCTGGAACTAGAGTTACAGATGGTTGTGAGCCACTGTGTGAGTGCTGGGAATTGAACCCAGGTCTCTGCAAGAACAAGTACATCTCTCCAGCCCTAGTTATATTCTTTGAAATGGCTCAAAATTAGAGTTTTTTTTCTTGTTTTTTTTTTTCCCTCTTTCTCCTTCCCATCCCTCCCTCTGAGACCGAGCGTCGTAGCCCTGGCTGACCTTGAACTCACTATGTAAACCAGGCTGGCCTCAAAGTCAACAGAGATCCACCTGCCTTCAAGTGCTGGGACTCTAAATGCCTGTGGTACCAGGTCCCGCTAAAATTGGTCTGTTTTTAATCCTCCAGTCTTATAGTAATTCTGTTAAATAATGGATCCATTATTTAACATTTTTTTGTTTGTTTTTTCCGTGTAACAGGACAGGGTTTCTCCGTTTAACAGCCCTAGCTGTCCTGGAACTCGCTCTGTAGACCAGGCTAGCCTCGAACTCACAGAAATACGCCTGCCTCGGCCTTCAGATAGGATGAAAGGCCTGCACCACCACCACCGCCCGGCTCATTTACATTTCTTATTGCAAACTATTTGGATTTGGTTTAATTATCTCACCATGTACTTTCTGTTTGCCCAGGTTTTTCTGTTCCTTTTTTCTCCCTGTTTATCTCCAAGCAGCCAGTGGCCCATAGCAGCATGACCACCAATATGGGCCCCTTACACCCATACTGGCCCAGGCACCTGAGGCTGGACAACTTTGTGCCTAATGACCTCCCGACCTGGCATATTTTGGCTGGCCTATTCTCCGTCTCTGGGGTCCTAATTGTGATCACGTGGCTGTTGTCTGCTCGAACTTCCGTTGTCCCACTTGGAACTTGGCGTCGACTGGCCCTGTGCTGGTTTACTGTTTGTACATTCATTCACCTTGTGATCGAGGGCTGGTTCTCTTTCTACCATGACATCCTTCTTGAAGACCAAGCCTTCTTATCCCAACTCTGTGAGTCCCGAGTTCTTGTACTGTGGGAGGGAATTTTTCTGGGTAGAGATTGGCTTTGATATTTAAGCACCACCCCCCATGCTTGCTTACTTTTTTCTTTCTTCCTTCCTTTCTTTCTTTTTTAGTTCTGTTAACTTCTTTTCAAAGCCTAAGCAGTTGTTATCTGTGCTGAGATTCTTTTTTGTTTTTTGGTTTTTTTAAAAGATTTATTAATTTGGGGCTCAGTGGTTAAGAACACTGGCTGTTCTTGCAGAGGACCTGGGTTCAATTATCAGCATCCATATGGTGGCTCACAACCATCTGTAACTCCTGTTCCAGGGGAACTAACACTCTCTTGTGGCCTCTGAGCTCACTGCACATATATACATACATAGAGAGATTTAAAAATAAATAAAATAGGGTTGTAGAGATGGCTCAATGGTTAAGAACATTTACTGCCTTCCTTCCAGAGGATCTGAGTTCAATTCCCAGCGCCCATATCAGGCATTTCACAAATGACTATAACTAGCTCCAGGGAATCTGACACCTCTCTGGCCTCCAAACACCTGTATACATGTGATACACACATGCGCGCACACACACACACACACACACACACACACAGCCTTAGATAGAAATAAATAAGTTAAAAAATACAATAATTTTCATTTATTCATATGAGTGCTCTTCCTGAACATGTGTGTGTGTGCACTGTTTGCATGCCTGTGGAGGCAGGGAAAAGGCACCAGATCCCTTGAAACTGAAGATAGGGATAGCTGTTCTTTTTTAAATCTTTTTTTAATTAATAATTTTAAATGTAATTTTTATGTGCAAAGGTGTTTTACCTACCTGTATGCAATTGGAACCCCAGGACTGGAGTTAAAGAATTTTTTGTTTGCTTTGTTTTTCGAGACAGGGTTTCTCTGTAGCTTTGGAGCCTGTCCTGGAACTAGCTCTTGTAGACCAGGCTGGTCTCGAACTCACAGAGATCTGCCCGCCTCTGCCTTCCAAGTCCTGGGACTAAAGGTGTGCACCATCACTGCCCGGCTTGGAGTTAAAAGAGGATTTTGAGCCACCATGTGAGTGCCCTGTCTTCCAGAAGAGCTGAACCGTCTCTCCAGCCCAAAATGCACACATGACATTCACTGCTTATTATAGACTTTTTTTTTTTTTAGTCTCATGTAGACCTGGCTGGCTTGGAACTTGCTATGTAGATTAGGCTGGCCTTGAACTCACACAGGTCGACTGCTTCTGCCTCCCGGAGAGCTTGCATTAAAGGGTATGATACCATGCCCCACCTATTTAGGGGCAGTTGTAAACCGCTATATGGACACTGAGCCCAGGTCCTCTGCAAGAGCAGCAAGTGTTTTATCCTCCACTGAGCCATCTCTCCACCTCCACAGGTTGTTTGTTTGTTTTGAGACAGATCTCACTGCATAGTTTTGGCTGGCCTGGAACTATCTCTGTTGACCAGGCTGGTCTTGAACTCACAGAAATTCTCCTGCCTCTGCCTCCCAAGTGCTGGGATTAAAGGTGTGCGCCACCACTGCCTGGCAGCCATCTTCTAGTTTTTTCCAGACAGTATCTCATGCAGTCTGTGCTGGCTTCTAAATATCTATGTAATTAAAAGATGAACTTGAACTTCTGATTCTCCTGCCTCTGCTTCTGCCTCTCAAGTGCCGGGGTTACAAACATGCAGCATCACACCTGACTCTCCCACTCCTCATCATCTCTGCCCCCTGTTATACCATGTGCCTCGAGTGCCATGCAATCCTAGCACCATCGTGTGTCAGTCTTTACACATGTTACATACACACACAGACCTTAGAATCAAAACTTTTCCCTCCATCATCCAGCTGAACAAACTGAGGCATGGGGATATTATAACGATTGTTGTCGTACAGTGATTATCACAAATATGAGTTCCTTTTCCTGACTTGATTCTTCATGTATCTGTTTGCCTCAGGGAAAGAGTATTCCAAGGGAGACAGCCGATATATCCTGTAAGTATTTTGCCTCTGTCAGTGGAAACCTGTACTGGTTTGGGGCAGTGGTGAGTTGGGGCACTAACAAGCTATTCTGTGGGCAGAGCACAATGATGCCAGTGTTCATCTTTTCTCTTGCAGTAATGATGACTTCATCGTCTCTATGGAGACTATCACAGCTTTTCTCTGGGGACCACTCAGCCTGTGGGTAGTGATTGCCTTTCTCCGCCAGCAGCCCTTCCGCTTTGTCCTACAGCTTGTGGTCTCTGTGGGTGAGGAGAAAATTTACACCTGGCACTACAAGGGTTATGGGGGAATCTCTAGATACAGGCACATCCCTGTGGGTGAGACTGCATACATATCCAGTAAGGGGTAGACATGCTGAATTATAATCTCCTTGGTATTCTGGAACATCCAAATCTCTCTCTCTCTGAGCTTACCTCTCCAGGAGGAATGTGTATTTCTCTTCTTTTTCCATCAGCATCTCCTATGAAGGTTACTTGATAAAGTTAATACTGCCCAGGATCTCTGGGTCCTCCAGGATCAGGACCTAAAGTGTTAGCTTTTCTTTCGTTTGCATATATGAGCTCTCTTTAGACTCTTTGGTCCTGAAATGCCAAGTTGTCATGAATTCTAGGTTTTTAAACTTGCCTTCAGTTCTAGATCTCTAAGGTCTCCTGAGTTGTATTCTCTATGCTCTTTCTTTTTTTTTGGGGGGGGGTGGTTTTCGAGACAGGGTTTCTCTGTACCTTTGGAGCCTGTCCTGGAACTAGCTCTTGTAGACCAGGCTGGCCTTGAACTCACAGAGATCCACCTGCCTCTGCCTCCCGAGTGTTGGGATTAAAGGCATGCGCCACCACCACCCGGCTTGAATTCTCTATGCTATTGCTTGGTGTGGAGGTACATGCTTGTAGTCCTAGCATTCAGAAGACTGAGGCAAGAGAATTGTGAGTTTGAGGTCAACCTAGGCTACATACCAACTCTCTCTCTCTCTCTCTCTCTCTCTCTCTCTCTCTCTCTCTCACACACACACACACACACACACACACACACACACACACACACACACAGTGGGGGGAGGGTTGAAGGGAATTCCGAAAGGAAGAAAAAATTACCCAAACTCTGACTTTTGAAATTTGTACTTTGTTATCTCAGATTTGCAGCTTCAGTTTCAGAATTTGTTTTGCCCTCTGAGTCCTGGCAGATGCCATGGAAGAGAGTCTGGCTTAGCTTCCTTGTCCTCACAAGGGCTTTTCCTTCTCTTGCCTCCCACAGGCCAGATATACGGGGATGTGCTGTACTTCCTGACAGAGCAGCGCGATGGCTTCCAGCATGGGGAGCTAGGCCACCCCCTTTATTTCTGGTTTTACTTTGTTATCATGAATGGCATATGGCTGGTGGTACCTGGAGTCCTCGTGCTTGATTCCATAAAGCATCTCACTCATGCCCAGAGCATGCTGGACAGCAAGGTCATGAAAACTAAAAGCAAGCATAACTAAAGAGCAGTAGAGTGGGCCGGAACACCGTTGCTGAGGCGTTCTGCCCACCTCCCAGAAGACCCAAGTCCTCCTCCCACAGGTTGGAGGGTCAGAACTATCTGATTAGTCACACTCCAGCTGAGGAGTAAGCACAAAAAGAGGCAGTCAGGAAAGGTAGAGAATGTGTGGAGCTACTGCCGGGAACCATTGGGGAAAAGATGTAAGGGGGAGGGGGTCCGTGATGGTGGCAATTTTCAAAACCAAAAAATAAAATATCTTTAATTATAACACTGAGAGACATTTAATTCCTAATCCTAGCGATGCCATGTAACTAACCCCATAGACCTCTCCCGTCCCTTGGTCATTCATAGCTTCCATCATTGCAGAAATAGCCCATGTCTGGCCTTACAAACCCTTAACACTGACTCCACACACTCCCGTGATTTACCCTATAGAACCTTGAACTCACTACACGTTCCCTCCATGATCACCCTGTGACTTATCTCATAAATCCTGCCCATAACCCTGTAGTTCCCTTATTAGCTTGGGCTGCCATAACCAAATGCTATCTAAACAGCAGACATGGAAGTTCTTAGTACTGGAGCTGGTCAGTCGAGTGTCAGAAGGTTTGGCTTTCTCTTTCTGAAGCCTCTTTCCTAGCACTGCATTCTGTGTCCTCACATCTCCCTAGGTGCCGAGCATCTGCTGTTTGCCTTTTCCTGGCGCACCATTTGCATTGGATTAGGGCCCATCATACCAGCCTCATTTTCAACTTCATCCAAACTGGCCACTTTCTACATTTCTGGGAGTAAGGACTTCAATATATGAACTTGAAGAGGACACAGTTCAGTCCCTAACATTCCTGCCCTCTGGTCTCCCTAAATTCATGTCCTTCTTGCATGCAAACTTTGTTTATCCCCATCCGTCATCCTCAAATCCTTCACTCATTCTGAAATTAACTTTTTCTGGGGTGAAGTTGGATTGCTGGAGATCAAAGAGAATCCAAAATCTTAAATAAGGCTCCACCCCTAAGCCACATTCATCACTCATGAATGAACTTTGGTTTTTTGTTGTTTTTTTTTTTTCCTTCGAGACAGGATTTCTCTGTGTAGTCCTGGCTATCCTGGAACTCACTCTATAGATGAGGCTGGCCTTGAACTCACAGAGATCCACCTACCTCCGCCTCCCAATTGCTGGGATTAAAGGCATTTCTTTTTGTTTTTTTAATTCTGTTTTGTTTTTTGAGTCACGGTCTCATTATATAACCCAAGCTAGCCTGGAACTCACTGTGTAGTTCAGGCTGGCAGCATTTCAAATGCTAGGATTGTAGGTTTGTGCCGCCAAACCTAGCTTTTTTGATTTATTGATTGATTTGGAGACAAGAAATTACTATGTATTCCAAGGTGGTTTTACCATGAAGGCTAGGCTGAAGTTGAACTGGTAATCCCGACGCCTCTGGCTCAGCCTCTCCAGTGGCGAAAGTGCAAGCATGTGCTCTCATGCTCAGCTCTTTGCATGGATTTTTTTTTCAAGACAGGGTTTCTTTGTGTAAGGGCCCTGGCTGTCCTGGAACTAGCTCTTGTAGATCAGGCTGGCCTTGAACTCACAGAGAAACGCCTCTCTCTGCCTCCTAAATGCTGGGGTTAAAGGTGTGGGCCACCACTGCCCTGTGCATAGATTTTTTTTTAAAAAAATTACCTTTATCTTATTGAGTATGGCTATTTTCTGTACACTATGTGTGTGTACTGTACAGGCCAGAAGGAGGCATCAGATCCCCTGGCACTGGAGTTAGAGATGGTTGTGAGCCACCATGTAGGTGCTAAGCAGTCAGTGCTCTTAACCCCTGAGCCATCTCTCCCTTGGCATGAATTTTTAATACTAAATTTCAACTAATATAAGGATAACCTCTTACACCAATGAAATCTTTATGCTTTTAGAGTGATGTTTTATGATCTTGGCCTTCTGTGTGATACTTAATTTAAAATAGTGATAAAACATTTTAAAAAATGATGTAATGCATTTATCATCATCCAAATCGTACAAAGAACAAAATCCAAAATAACACTGCCCTGAAAACAGATGTCCAGAAGACAGTATTTTTGCTGCTATATGTGTTAAGTATTATTAAGGAAGTATTTTATGTTCTGTGTTATCTAGAGTACTGTTCCTGTTATTTCTATCAGAAAAACATTTTAAGCATATAAATATTATAAAAAAAATAAATAAATAAATATAAGGATAAGACTTGAGGTATGATTCATTCTTAGGCAAGAACTCCTACTTGCTGTGAACCTGTGAAACCAGATGAGTTTTCTGTTTACAAAATGCAGTGGCAAAGCTGAGAATTGGGGCATGCCTTTAATCCTAGCACGAGGAGGGCAGAGGCCAACTCGTTCTGCATAGTGAATTCCAGAGCAGCCAGAGCTACATAGTGAGACCCTGCCTTGAAAAAAAACCGCAGTGGCAGGGCTGGTGGATCCCATTCCACAATGGACAACTTGTGGAATGGGATCACAGGATCCAAGTAAGTTAAAATTCCATTCAGAGTTACATTCCCTTGGCTTGATGCTCTGTCTTCCAGATAGGGGTCTAGCCTCTGAATCTGCTCAGCCCTGGATGGCAGCTTTCCCCACTAACCAAGGAATAGCCTTCTCAGAACTAAGAGGCACATCACAGCCTGAGAGACCTATTGTTCTGTCCTAAACAATTGAAGTGGGACAACATACCTTTATTTTACCCTTTCCTTGTCCCCCTCAGTCTCAGCTGGCAGTGTCTGTGCTGGTGTCGCCCCACCCGCTCCCGGATTCTGATAAAATGGCTGGTGAGATCAACGAAGTATACCCAGCCAGCGGTGATTTTTATAGATTGTCCAGCCATCCAGCCATGCCCTTGCTGTTTCCTCCATAACACTTTCTTTTTTGTTTTTTTTTTGTTTTTTTTTTTGTTTTTTTTTTTGTTTTTTTGTTTTTTTTCGAGACAGGGTTTCTCTGTGGTTTTTGGAGCCTGTCCTGGAACTAGCTCTTGTAGACCAGGCTGGTCTTGAACTCACAAAGATCCGCCTGCCTCTGCCTCCCAAGTGCTGGGATTAAAGGCGTGCGCCACCACCGCCCGGCTTCCATAACACTTTCTTGCACTCTGAAGATAAGCTGCAAATGTTCTAAACCTCCTTGTTCCTTTCTTTCAAATACTTCTTTTTTTTTAAAATTTATTTGTATTTTGTTATTCGAGGCAGGGTTTCTCTTCATAGTCCTGGCTGTCCTGGAACTCACTCTGTAGACCAGGCTGGCCTTGAACTCATAGAGATCTCAGAGTACTGCCTCCTGAGTGCTGGGGTTAAAAGTGTGTGCCACCACTGCTCAGTCAATTCTTTTTCAACTGCTCTATTCCTGATCATACTTTTCTGTTAAGGAGCAAGAAGAAAATCGGGTTACAACACTTTGTTTGCTTGCTTGCTTGCTTGTTTCCTTTTGTTTTTCAGATAGGTTTTTATGCTGTAGTCCAGGCTGGCCTGAAACTAATTACGTAGCCAGAATTGCCTAAAACTCAGGGCAGTCCTCCTGCTTCAGCCTCTTGAGTCACGGTGCGATTACAGGTATGAGCCATCACTCCCAGTAATCTTCAATGCATTTCTCAGAGATCTTAACTAAAAATCAAAGTTTACCTCTCACAAAGTTCTCCCTTTACTAGAATAAATTCAATCAAGTTTATTTATTTATTTAAAGATTTCTTATTTATTTATTATGTATACAACATTCTGCCTCCATGTATGCCCGCACCCCAGAAGAGGGCGCCAGATCTCATTACAGATGGTTGTGAGCCACCATGTGGTTGCTGGGAATTGAACTCAGGACCTCTGGAAGAGCAGGCAATGAATGCTCTTAACCACTGAGCCATCTCTCCAGCCCCTCAAGTTTATTTTTTTTTTTTTGCCTTCCGGTTTCCTTGTGTTCCTTATTTCCATGTAAGATCTCAACAGATGCACCTAGGATATCCATATTATTACTGTCTTTTTATTCTTTTTAAATTAGTTTTTACTGTTTTATGTACATGGTATTTTTGCTTGCATGTATGTCTGTGTACATGTTCATGTAGGGCCCACTGAGGTGAGAAGAAAGCATTCCATCCCCTGGAAATGGAGTTAGAGACAGATGTGAGCTGCCATGTGAATTGAACTGTGCTGTGTAGCTGGGAATTGAACCTGGGTCCTCTGGAAGAGCCCTCTCTCTTCCCCCAACAGACAGTCTCTTAAGGCAGTTGTCTTGGTCTTCCAATACAGTGTAAACTGGGTGTCTTACAAACAACAGAAACTTTTTTTTTTTGGTTTTTCGAAACAAGGTTTCTAGCTTTGGTGCCTGCCCTGGAACTAGCTCTTGTAGACCAGGCTGGCCTCGAACTCACAGATATCTGCCTGCCTCTGGCTCCTGAGTAATGGGATTAAAGGTGTGAGCCACCACCGCCCAGCTCCAGAAACTTCTTTAACACAGTTCTAGAAGCTAGTGCTAACAAGTGAGGGCCACTTTTCACTTTTTCACTGTGTCCTTACATAGTTGAAGCTTTAGAACTCTGGTCTCTTTCTTTCTTTTAATCTTTCGAGACAGGGTTTCGGGTTTCTCTGTTTAACAGCTCTGGCTAGCCTCGAACAACCTCTATAAACCAAACTGGCCTCGAACTCAGAGAGCTGCCTGCCTCTCTCTGCCTCCCAAATACTAGGATTAAAGGTTAAAGGTCTAAAGGTGTGTGCCAGCACTACCCAGCTTCTCTGGTCGGTCTCTCTCTCTCTCTCTCTCTCTCTCTCTCTCTGTCTTTTTTTTTAGGGGGGGGGGACAGGGTTTCTCTGTGTAACAGTACTGGTCATCCTGGAACTGTCTTTGTAGACCATCAGGCTGGCCTCGAACTCACAGAGATCCACCTGCCTCTGCCTCCCACGTGCTGGAATTAAAGGCGTGCGCCACCACTGCCCGGCTCTCTGGTCTCTTCTTATTTGGCCACTAAATCCTATAACCACCTCCTTGTCACACTGAAGATTAGATTTCAGTTTAGTAATGGGGTGACACAATGTTGAAACTATAAAAATCAAGGTTTTTTAAAGCATATACGTCAAAACCTTTTCTCTACCCATTATCCAGTTAGAAAACTCCCTCCACATCTTTAGATGTCACTTACAGTACCTCCATCCTTCTCAGTATCAACTCTGTACTAACAATATGCCATAGATAGAGAGGCTGTGGGATGGAGGGGTATATGTAGATAGTTGTTCATATAACTGATACTGACCTTCAACTCCTGAT